CTCCTACAGGAGTCTTTCCTGAATCATTCCCTCTTTTTGGAGGCATGATTCTCTGTGGTTTACTTCCTTGGCGAAACGAAGCAGAAACTAAACAAAGTGAAGGTAACTGAATGAAAACAGATAGAGAGAGAGAGAGAGAGAATGAAATGTTGAGGATCCACAGCGAGGTGCTTAAAGACTGTTATTTGGGGACACTCTCACAAAGACACACACACATATATATATATCACACCGCAGAGAACCGCAGCTATTCTAAACAATTCAGAGTCACCAGACGTAGAGAGCACAGGGATCAACACAGCACTGCAGAGAAGAGCGATGGTGCGCCGTACTTCTCATTTGAAATCCACAAATTCATTCTCTGAAGCAACAGTTGAGATTCTTCCGGGACACCTCTCCTTGTTACTCTTCACACCAAAAAGAAAATACACACGCTGTACTGCCTTTATGTATGAGATCTCCCTCTTTCTCTCTCGCCTTACACCTCTCCAAAAGCGTGGGGCGCAGAGCACATCTTAGGAGAGAGGCCCTGTTGTGTGTGAGTGGTCCTCAAATAAGTACTCTTTCCGGCAGCACTTCGCTGAGGAAAATTCGTTTCCTCCACTACACTCAATGTACCTAACGATGCACACGCGGATTAATAAAAGTAGAACCGCATTCCACCACAAATCAATCATCACCGCATCACCGAGAGAAAGGAGGCATACAAAAAAAAAAAGAGGACAACCCCACTGCGCCACAACTGACCCATAAATCTATCACCGCTTTAGTTCCATATTCTCCCTCTTTTCATTCCCTTCCTCGGAATTTTCGGAATGGACCCCCACCAGTGAAGACTAGAAAACATGGGACACATGATGCCTTGTCACAGCTTGGGCTCCTACTGATTTATCTCACCCTCGTCCCCCTTGAACCTCTCTGCAGCCCCTAATTGGCGTTTCCTCGCTTGGTGGGCACACCCAAACCAGCACATCATCAAGAGCAACGCGGAGAAGCAGTCCAACAACACAAAACAGTGACATTATGTCACACCCCAGTGGAATTCACATACCAAGTATGCGAGAGAAGCGTAAGGCACCACACCTGTCGCCCATCCATGCAATCACACACAAATAGAGAAGGATGCACAAACACTCACCCACCAGAAAACAGGTTTGATTGGTGTTCACAAGTATTTACAAAAAAAAAAGTTTTTGTTGGTCTCCCTCATTGTATTTGTGTCCTCCCCAAACACTATGAATCTTAGGCAAGAGTTTCATTGAGCTTCAAAACTCCCGCTGGAGGTCGGAGACGTCATTACAGAAAAAAAGACCTACATGACCCAATTTCGGAGGTTTGTGCTCACAGCTCACGTCGCACCGCATGACACATTGAGTGACTCCCCTTCCGTACCCCCCACATTGTCCCGTGTCCCATCGATTGTTGTATCTTTAATCGCATTCCACACCATCTCCTATCTTATGGTTTCAGCACCATTCCCAGTCACCCCATCCTATGTATAGAGAGAGAAGCCATGTTGTAAATGAGAAGGGCGAGAGGGGGTATTCGCATTCATGAGAGTGCCTGTGTATGAGGTCAGCTCCATAGTACACAGAAAGAGCCCACACACAAGACGTCAGTGACTGCAGGGCACCTTCTTTGGAAAGTTGGACAATTGTATCAACCGCAAAGAACCCTCACCTGTGCATTTATGCTCATGATTAGAATAGCTGGCCCACTTCTTACCGTCAAGATCCGCCCCTCGGCGGATTTCATGTGGTTCATTTCCACGACAGTTACTGGAGACTAAATTCCTTCTCCTCGTCCTCCAATGTTTGGCGTTGCCAGAACGATAATGTGGGAATTCACAATATTGTTCTTTTTAAGAAGAAATGTGAAGCTAACAAGCAGCCCAGCCAGTGTATACACCAGGCTTGGCGATCACCAACCTTGGCATTCCAAACACACCTCCTTAACTACACAAGACAAGAGAAAAAGAACAGTAGAATTTTAGCTTCTTCGGAGTGTACTCCAACTATTGAAACACCATACAGACAGCTGCTGCAAACACACATCGCATCCCTCTGCTTTGGTTTCCCAGTTAGTTCTCTAGAAATGGTATATATATAATACCTTTAAGCCGTTTTCGTTTTGATGATTAAAATCTCTCTTGCTCTTTTTTTTTTCTGTATTCAGAAGAGACAGATTTTTTTTCTTTGCTGGTGTATTGGCCTAAAATAAAAAAAATTGCCTGAAGTGCACTCTGAGTCCAACGAAGGAACTCAGAAACGAGAGGTGGAAAAACAAACCAAGGGGGGCCATTCAACATTTGTCCACCCCGGTGGGTTTTTTCCATCAAATCAAATACAACAACGTAACCTCTCGCACATTTCACGGTCCGAAAACGGGGGAGGGAAGGATACGGCTCCCCTTCCCATATTCGGATCTCTTTTTCTTTTTTGATTTTATCACACGTGGGGTATGTAACAGAAAAATATGAAGGAGACAACAACGAAAAGAGGGAAAAAAAAAGAAACATTAATTATCGTTCCCACACTTTCAGGAGACATGGGAATCCTCGTCTAAACGGTCTCCAGGTCGTCGTTGAGCGTCTCCTTCTTGTTGATTGGCTCGTTACGCCCGCCTACCTCCTCTGTTTCCGTTGCCACCATAACTGTGGAGCCGGGCAGGTGGAACTCGTCGGGCCGGCGGTAGGCAACATAGAGTGCGAGGGCGACGCCAACAACCGTGATGCCCAGGCAAACCCACACGAGGGGGAATTCCTTCGAATCATCTTCGGAATCCTCCGTTTCAAATGTGGTGTTGGAAGCTGTCTGTGCCATCGCCGCGCTGAAGTAGGCAGTAGCAGCAAGCAGAGCGTGTGTCCAGGTCATCTTTTTTTTTTCTTTGGGGGAAAAAGTGTAGATAATAGTGTTTGCCTTGGTAGAGCTAGAAAGCAGTGAACTGGACCAAAGAAACCGAAGCAAATAAAGAAGCGGGCGAGGAGAACAGCGTCCCCAACGGCAAAACAATACGAAGCTCGTCAGTGGTCAGGTCGCACACAACAAAGGCTCAGCAAGATGGAGAGCGGTGGAAAACTACCCCAAAAAGGAAGATGAAACGGAATACGAAAAAAAAAGCCCCAGAAAAAACAATTGGTTCCATAGTCGTAAAGTATATATATATATATACGTGGTACAATCTCATAGAAACGTAACACAGCACATGATAAATGAGCCCAAAATTGAAGACCCCGAAACATCATGAATGGGAATCCGGCGGATGCCCTTTTTTAACAGACGCAAAGGCAGTGTACATTCACCTAAGAACTCACTTCGGGTCTTATCTTCATCGTATATCTGCACAACAAGAGTGGATAGCTCCCAGTTCTTCACATCCCATGCAAAATCAGTCTTCAGACCTTTCCCACGCCACACGGGATGAAATCCGTTGTTGTGGATGGTACCTGTAGATTTTGGCGTGGTGTCAGCATCTGGACCTTCGATAAAGCAAGAGACGAATGGATCCACAATCTCTCCCTTTGTTGAACGTTTTGGTTTTGGTATACAAAACCCAGAAATAACCTCCACAGCCAATCTTCGCACCTGCGAACCGACAACTGCTTCGGAGTCGGACCGCAAGCAGGACGGTTTGAGGAGGTACCCGCAATTCCCGTTATCATAAAAAAACCCACGGTTAAGCCTCCACTCATACGTCTTGGTTGATTGCCAATTCAACGCCACAATCTGGCAGCCGCAGTCCCAGAACAGTTGTGGATGGTAGTTGCTGCTGTCAAATCGAGACCCTGCAGGGTATATGCGACTGAGACACTGTCTATTGATCGTCGCAAACGCCTGTGCATTTGAGAGTGCCATTTTCCTCGCTTTACCTTCCACAAATGAGCTGCACTGGTATGGATGTCGCCTGGAAAGATAGGCAAGGTCCGCCACACCCTGAAAACCGGTAGATTCAATTGACACTACAGAAGAAAGTTTTTCCGATATATTCTTCTCGCTCTTCTTATTCTGTTTACGCCTTTCTTCTCGGATGCGTTCGTACTCTTGCTTGGTCGTGGGAGAAACTTTTACTACCAACTCTCCTTCGTCGTCGTAATCCTTGTCTACACCAGGTTCATCTTTTGCTATCGAACCTCTTTCACTCTTCACAAGAATCTTTCGTTTGAGGTTCTCTGGAGAGAACAGCACCAAAGGCTCTTCGCCAGGACCCCACTGACTCTTGAAAAGCATATCCGCAAAGATTTCACACATAATCTCAGCCATGCGATGCTGCTGCGCCAAACTCGTGTGCACCTCTAGCGAGAGAATAACCGGGTAGTCTGAAACTTCGAAGGCGTACTCCTTGATTACCTCCACGCAAGACCGAAACGAGATCTTCGAGGTCCGAGTGTATCCGTGATACACAATTGGTTCACCTCCAGGACCATCCCAGCAGTCCAACTCTACGCATCGGCATCCACCAAGAAGAGTCTTTTTGTACATCTCCGTTGACGACTTGCTGGTCAATTGGTCCCCCGTGAGATATGTATTGTGCGAGGAATTTATGTAGTAGTTGCAAATTGGCTGATTCATATCGTGGTAAACATTGAGCACTTTCACCTGGTCGACAATGCTGCAGTAATGCGGGTTTTCGAGGAAGCGAAGAAAACTGTTCACATGAATGTCACTGAAAGGGGCACAGCCAACGGCGTCCAGCATTTCCTCAGCCAGCTCACATGTCATATCCTCGCCCTGGGTATCTCGCAGAAATGACACAAATTCATCTCTTGTCATGGTGTTGCGATCTGGGCCCACAATTTCCCTGAAAGAGTATTCCAATTCGGTAAGCTTTGTCAGGGACATGTACACATTCTCCAGTGTGGCATACTTCACGCTTCCATTCTCAGCCTTTACAGTGTCAATGAGTCCCTTCGAGAGGTCGTGGGGAAAATTCATGCCCTTCACAAGTTTCCTTAGTTCACCAAGGCTGATGTCACCGCTGTGATCTGTGTCGTACGTTATCCATACCATCATGAACTTGGCACGGTTCAAATCCAATGTGACGCGATGGCCTTTGGTTGCCGCAATGTATTCTTCAACTGCGTCTGCCGCCTTACGATTGGATGCGCACGACTGGCGAAGAAAAAAGCACGCCTCATCACTGGAGCAAGCCAATAGATCGAGCGCCGCTCCCCACATGGATGCAAAGAAAGCCGCAACGTCACTTGGTGTTAGCTCGTTTTCATCCAAGTAGTTATCCACCAATCGCGTGGCGGCTGGGACAAAGCGAGACATCTTGCCCTCAACAGTCTTCTTTGCAGCGCAGACCCCCATTGCCGCTTTCTTGATGTGATTGTCAATCTTTTTTTTTTCTTTTTATTCGTTTTTTTTTTTTGCGATTGAAACAGACAAGGGGCGAGAATAAAGGCAATATTAATATAAATACATACATATATATATATATATATATATANAGAGAGAGAGAGAAAGAGGGAGTGAGCAGCCACATACACAAGGGCACCACAAGGCCTTTCAGCAGACCAAATGGTTTAAACATTTCTTTTTGTACCTGCCACCTTCTCTTTCCAGGTGTTTTCCTCCTGTGCAGCACGACGGATGGCCTCGCTCAGTCGCTCCAATTCCACCTTCTGATCAAGCATGCTTTTAATCTCCTGGACCCTCTCTTGCAGGTGCAAAAGATCATCCTCAGATTTAATATACTTTTCACGGCCCTCTGCGATCATGTGCCGTAAACGTTGCTCCTCTTCTCGTTTCAGAGCCTCTTTGTGGTGCGTCCGTACCTTTTCCTGTAGGTAACTATCTTTTGCCACCTCTGCCCTCTCAGACCAATAGTTCAGCAACGCGCGAACCTTGGCATCACGAAGACTGATCCTGTATGAAAGGAGCTCCCTCCCCTCGCGACATGAGCGGTCAGCCTTCTGAACACCCTCGCTAAATGCGGATAACTCTCCTTCCGCTTTTCGGACGTCTCTATGGCATTGATGAAGCTGCTCGTGAAGTGCTTCTCGATACAACGCAACCTGATCGCTACAAACATCTTTTTCCCCGAGAGCCTCATCAACAAGACGAAGTAGTCTGGGAGGTACCTCGCACTTTTTTTCTGCTATCATATCTCTTAGAGAGTGCAGCTCATCGCGAATTTGTTCTTCATGTGCATTTAGAGCGTCAATCTGACGTCTCGAAATACCCACTTTCAACGCCATCACGTTATCGTCGGAGGTCACCTCGTCTTTGGCGGCATAATTCTTCTCCCTCTCAAAATCATTCAAGCATTCACTTAGCCGTCGTCGCGCCGTCTCACGTTGCACGAGAAAGCGCTCCACACCTTCTTCAAGATCAGTTCGATTTAGTCCATTGCACTTGGATCCACCGCATGAAAGTGCATCACCTCGAACCAGGGGAGTTGGCACGTGGGTGGAGAGGTCGACCTCAAACTGTTGAGCTATCTGCATGACCGAGACCTCATGAAGCAATTCTATGGATGGAGCATCAAGGACAAAATCTCGCAAATACGTCGACGGGACGACGCCCTTTGCCCCTCTCACATTCTGCCCTATCCACCATCCGCTACGGTGCTCCTCCAGGACTAGAATAAGATCGTCCTTGCAAAGTGACAAATAATGCCGGCCTGTGTTTGCGTAAGCATGGGTTGCCTGCACGATACGCATTTTTCCTTCTCAACAGCAACATTAACGGAAGGACGAGGGCTATATTCACGATCAAGCAAGTCCTTTTTTTTCTTTAACTTTATTAAGCCCATACGCGAGGGCATACATACAAGGGAAAAAAGGCAACCGAACCTGCACAGGCAGACACTTCCGTCCAAGCCAAGCACAGACACACACACACACACACACACACACACACAACGAGATAGAGAGAGAGAGAGAGACCCACTCATAAACCCACACCTTGGCAGTCAAGGCATGGAGACAGATTGTACCGAGTACTCTTTGCCTGGCTCCACGTAGACCTCGCCGTAAGCGCCCGGGAGCAGTATCTCTGGCCGCCCAACAGGCCTCAACACCATATTGTGGCCAAACACATGATGGGGATAAGTGACACCTCCCACCGTCTCCAGGTCGACGCCCAAATTAGACAGTGAGACTTTAAACGCAGACGCAGACCCACCTTCACGCCGGGATGACATTTACCTACTTCAAAGGAGATACATGAGCAGAAAAATAGAAAAAAAAAGAGAGGAGACAAGACAAAAAGAGAACGAAGTTGCCGAGAGCATAAATGCAAGCACCTTCACAAAATGATGTAGCATGCGTGTCGTTACACAAAAGACATCTGCATGGGAGACGTGGTACTGAGGGGAACCCTCCTATTTCCACCTCACCTCTCACCCCCCTCAAAAAAAAAAAAAANAAAAAAAAAAAAAATGTACCAAACAAGAGTGGCACAAGAAATTTATCTCTTTCTCTCTCTCTCTACAGCATACCATAGAGATCCTGAAACGAAGCATAACGTAGAGAGAACACCTCCCTCAGCATCACAAACGGTGAAGAGCCGCCTGGGAGAGAAAAGGAAAGGATGACTGAGCTAACGCCTCCGTGTGCTTTCTTAATAGGTTCCATCTTCTCTACAAAACGCTCCGATACGTTATACACACACGGTTCCCGTATCCGCGTCGCATAATCCATTTCCTTGACTTCTATCGGCTTCCTCTCTTGCATTACAGCAAGATCCGACTTTAAGCATACAAAAGAATTCGGGTCATGAATCACAACAACTTGAAAGTCCCTAGGTTTCACCACCAGTGGACGGTAGAGCTCTCGAGGTGTTGCACCAGGCACAAATGTCTCTTCAAAAAGAAATGATAAACCATGCTTTGCCGCAAATTCTTGGTAAAACTCTCTGTCGAGTGGTGTTAACTCAGGAAACAGGCAATCACGGAGAGAAACAGAATCATATGGGATGGGAAGAACAACGTCCTGTATGTTGTAGACACCTCTTCGTGCATCTTCACCGGTTACATGTTTGTAATCGTAAGAACTCTTGGGAAATGAAGTGGTATCAATAACACTAGAGGAATCGGAGGTGCGCACCCGCACCACGTCCCCTTCAACAACTTCCAAACCCTTCGAGAGCAATCGCTGTGACGTCATGGCATTCCACACAAACTCTGCGGCACTACGTTGAATACGATCACGAACAGGAACACGCTCCCAAATCTTGCGAAGGTGCTCATCCTTCCTCACAGCACCCTCGTGGTATTCGGACAGCTGTTGCAGTAACTCTACAAGCCACTTTTGTGATCGCATGTGTTTGGCCGCATCCGCCCATGACTTCGACACACCCGGAACGGTGCTAGGTTCTGCATTAAGGTATCGCAGGTAGTAATCATGGTGCACCCCATCGCACTCGGCAATGCACTGGAGCAATCCACCCACAGCCTTAAGATAATCTCCTTGGGCGGCAAAAGATGCCATTTCAAAAAATCGGTTCGTACCCACACCAAATGTATCTAAACCAAAATAGTTGATAAAGCCCCTTTCACTTATGAACTTTAGTCGACTGTTCACAAAATCTCGATCACCTTCCACACACCGTAGAGTCATGCGATAGTAATGCCCACAAGGTCTTTGGAGGAGTGAATCCAGACGCTCATTCGAGTGATACTCACGTGGATCAAAAATAAGAGGATGTAGGTTGTAATGACGTGATGCATGCGGAAGGAGCTCCTTTGTCATACCAATGCACACGCCGTATTGTGTAATACAACCAAAAGACCCGCCTGGTTGGTGATGCATAAACATGCAGTCCTGTTGGGGGGACAACACATAGCCTACACGGTTTACAACACTACTGATTGAATGGGAATCTCGATAGAGGACAAAACGAAGTATTGAAAAATCCCGTGGAAGCCTTCCCAACGATCTCACGTACTCACCATAACTCTGCACACGTGGACTAAATGTTTTTAACGGATTACTGAATGGTGTTTCCCGGTTGTCCTCGACAAGAAGAGTTTTCTGACGCGAAATCTTCTGCCATCTTCCTTTTGGGGCCTTTTCAAGTGTCGCGACATTTCCACCCGCATCAATTTCGTTCACTTGAAAGTCACTCGAATGTGCCTTCACAACAGCCACAGGGAGGCGGCTGCCGTCCGGCACCTTAGCGCACACATCACGTAAACGAAGCAAGAGGCCGGAGTCCTTTTCTTCAGTGCTAAGATCGCGACCTGATCGCCAGTCGCTCCGAGACACAGCAATTCCAGTCGTTGGTCTCCGCAGCGACCACCGCACGATGGGGCCTCTCGCAGCAACTTTCATAAGGGTTCGCTAAGCATACATACACATACACACAGACATAGATATATATATATATATGCCAACAGAAAAAAGTAAACAAATAAAAGAACGAGTCAACACATGCACACGCACAGCGACGCAGCCTCAGAAACCCATACGGTTTAAGGGGGAAAAAAAAAACAGTGTAGAGGAAATCGGGGGATAGTGAAGACTAAGAAAGCATCGCCCATGATGTTTTTTTGCCATTGACGTATTGCTGTATTGTTCCATCCACAGCATCAACAGCGTAGGAAGCATTGACTTCATCGTTCCACGGCTGGTAGGGGTTATCAACAAACGGGTGGTACATACTGCTCTCATTTTCTTCTATGCGAGCCGCAGCTTCCATTTGAATCGTCTGCAGATGTGGAACACAATCACCTAGTATCTCGCTATTCAGGTACCCACGCTCCAGTAGCTGATTGCGAATATGCGGTGGAAGTATTTGTAGCTTGTGCTCGTATAGTTCTTCCTCTAACTGCATAAGTGCACCCTCTGTCACGACCAGCCTTTCATGTTTCATTGCGTCATAGACATTAAACCGATTGACTGGAATTGGATTCTTTGGCCCCTTGGGACCTTTCATCCGTTGTTTGGCAGCTGTCTTGTTGTAGTCGTACTGTTCGTCACACAACACGGTAGGGCGAACCACCTTGTTCCTACCGTTAAAAAAACTGCCAAAAAAGAAGGATCGATCAAACTCAGAACTAGAGGTAATGCGAGAGCCCCCATCCATGAAAAGCACACCACCACCTGTATGTCGTACATCCCATGCCATGGTGCGGCAGAGCTCTAGATAGCGCTCCTGTGTGGGTTCCTGCAGGGTAAGTCGGTCCACAATCTGGAGCCGTCCCTGGAGCAACTTGAGGGTCAGCATCATGCGATTGCTTTTACTCCATGTTTTAACGTCCATTGTTGGCATCAGCATGTTCCACGGCTTGGACGGTTTCGTGCGGCCACCCCATGGATATTGATGGTTTTTTCGGTCGCTAACGCGTGGCATTCCCATCCCAGTATTCGGCCAATTTTTCTTTGCCTTTCGCCATATTTCCCGCTTCTCGTAGTCCCATTTACTCGCAAAGTTTTGGCAGCGTACCAACCAATATGTGAGATTCTTACTAAGCTCCTCCACCTCTGGGTACATACCAAAGATGAAGGGATCCAGTTCCCGCGTGTGTGTCACTTCATTCTTAAGGTTAAATACAGGCACCACAATACGTTCTTTCATGGTGCCGTACGTGTAGACGATAGGTCTCGTTGTGTTCAAGTGCGGTAGCTCTGGAAGAGGCTCGGTGAAGTATGGGTGACTGCGCTGTGGCGACGGCATGTACGGCGACACCGGGGGGCGCGTCACAGAGTTGTGCGGGTGGTACAGTGGGAGCGGGTGGGCGCCGGGCAGCGCCGGCCGGGGCCCATCGTACACAAAGTCGCCCTCGTCCCGCGGCGCAATATCGTGGACGCCCGACGTGCGCCAGTCGTATCGGGGACTGAAAATAACAGTGCGGCGTCCCCCCGCCGATGACAGCGCCACAGCGAGAGAAACACGCCGCATTGATCGCCGTCAGTTTTACAGGAAGGGTTCGTTCTTCTTTTTTTTTCTTTTGCGGCTATCTTTCTTTCTGCTACAATTCTCTTCCCCTTTTTCTTCCTTTCACCGGCAGCTTCCCCGCAAGATGCAAAGCAAAGGTATAAAGGGGTGAATACGCATGAACGCCAAAGCCATTTTTTTCACGGCAACTCAACGGGGCAAAGAAAAAAAAAAAACGCAAAACCCACAGTGACGGACTAATGTGCAACAATACACCATAGTCTTCTTGCTGCTCTGTTGGTCTCTCTTAGGGGATGCTGCAGAATGTCGACTTCTTACCAACACGCACACAGCTACCGCTCGAAATCTGTGTTTGACTGCTGGGCCACATGACGCTCCTTAAGATACCGCTCCAGCCGCGCGCTCAGCTTTAGGTTCTCATCACGTGCCTGATTCAGCGCGAGGGTAAGGAACGCGTTCTCCTCTTCGAGCTCGGCGCATCGATCAATCATGTGTCTATTCGTGGTGTTCAGGAGGTTGATCTGTGAATTGGCTGCATTAAGACGATCGAAAAGAACCGGTTCCTCATGAACTTCCTCTCTCTCGCACACAAGTGAATTCGCTAGAGGCTGCAAAACGGTTGCCGCACCACCTGTCGTAAAGCTAGGAAACAGCGCCGCTGCCCTCGCCGTGCGCAATCGCGGGTTGGGGAGAGAGAACGCAGCCTCCACAGCCTCCACTTGCAGAGATGCGTCCACCTCAGTGTCACACAGGCAGCCCACATGCCGCAGTGTCGCACACGGCGCACTCAATGACCGTCGGGTCATTGGAGCCGGAAAAGCCTCCCCCATACAGACTAATCAATAAAATAACACCTAAAATGGCTTTGCAGCCAAATAAATGAAGCGAAGAGCCACTGTTAGAGCCAATTGAAATGTCAACTGGTCTGTGAGTGTATCTATGCGTGCGTGTGAGCAACAACCCCAACCTCCTCAACAGTGTGAAGGGAGCCGTTGATAAAATAGCTACTGCACACCACCACCACCACCACCACCAGCAGCAGCAGTGGCTGTAGGATGAGCAAGGGAGCGTAACATGGCAGAGCGAGTCTCCTCTGCAAAGCTCGTGGCCAGTAGCGACTCTACATCACGCAGCAAATCCGTCACCTCGTCAACGAGAGGCAGCAAAGAACAAGAAAGAGAAGTCGCCACAGAGTGAACCGCATCCGCCTCCTCACGCATCCTAGCAGTGAAACTGATCCATTCATCTGCTGTACGTCGCAGCTCTAACGAGGACGCCTCAGCCATCTCGAGACTTGCACACATCTTCTCAATTGTTGCACGCATCCTCCACTTTATTTGAACCTTTCCTCTTTGGCCTTGATTGTTGAACAACTACGCTGCAAACGGATTCTGAATCCTTCATGTTGGAGAAAAGTAAAGAAGGCGTCCTGCTCTTATCACCTTTTCATTCCGCTTTCTTACTTGCCCATATATGTTTGAACTAATTCCCTCATTCAACACTCCAACAAACAAAACAAAACGCCCCCTGTCTGGCCATATCTCGCTTCGCGGAAGAAATCGCCCCACCCATGTTTACGTCACAGTCAACAGTAATTGTTCGTCGAGTGGTGGAATACACCTATGGGGAGAGAGCGAAGAGGCGCTAGATAAAAAAAAACCTTTTCAAAGCATTTCCATTCCCTGTATCAGAGGTAACTCTGTAAACGAGCGGATGATGGTACGCAAAATCGCCGTAGCGGTACGTGAGTTCTGTGGTGAGCCAGCTACCGTCTCTCCATTCACTCAACGGGGGAATGACACCATCTGCGCGCTGCCCAATAGCACGCCACTCGCCCAGCCCGTCGTCGTCTGACGCGAGCAACTGATCTTCGTACGTGGGTGAGACCTCTATCCCAGGAGGAGGAGGAGCGTCGTAGTCGGCAGCGCCCACATGGCACTCCATGCAGAACGCGGCCTCCAGGTTCCCCCCATTCTTCAGCACCGTTGAGCTCACCCCCTCAGCAGTTTCGGCCGAACGCGCGAGGCGCACCTCCTGCGGCTCCGTCCGCGGCGCTGAGGAGGATCCTCCCGCAACGGATGGACTATGGGCAATGGGCGAAACGTTTGGGCACAGGGGTGGAAGCTTGCGAGGGGTAGTAGAAGCACCGAACCCGTGGTCTTCGACAACAAAGCGTCGCGGCGTTTGCTCCGGCGTGGACGCGCAGCTCTGCTGGTACCGCTCCACAGGATGCGGTGGTGTTCCTGGGGATGTGGCATCTGAGACTTCTAGAGTGACGAAAGAGAAGTCTACGCCGCCCATCCTCGGCGAATTCAGAGCGTCTCTGCATTCAAGACGTTCACGAACAGGCGGGCTGGCTGCTGCCAACACTTCACCAAAGCCGCGAAAATCTTCTCGGGTCCCTAGGGATGACAAGCACTCCTGAAAAGAAGGGAGATTCGTTCGCCATTGTGTCTTAAATGGGTTCCTTTTCGGTGTTCGCTCAGTGTTAGCTGCGTGCATCACACGTTCGGTGCCCCTCCGAGAAAGATAAAAAAAGCACCCATGTTGTGCATAAGAGAAAACAAGAAACGAAGATACACAAAAACAGCAAAACTTCCAAGATACCACAACCTTCACAAGGCTTATATATATATATATATATATATATATATANTATATATAACCACTTATAGAAAAATAAGCAAAAGGCTTCAGGTGCAGAAAGTGACGGGTCATAGGCTTCTTTCGTGCAACATTAACTGCAGAGTGCATGAAAGGAATAAGTGACTCCCTACCATGGTGTCCGGCACGGATGGCATACCGCCATTCCACACATCAAGAAGAGATTGGAGCTTTCCTACCTCAGTGCACTTAAAGGAGGACGTGCAATACAAGATGTAATCATGTGTACCAACAGCAAACTCCTTACAGGTCAGAATACCCTCCTTCGGCAACTTGCACTCCATCACTAAAGATGATGCTGTTAATGGAAAGAATGTAGTAAACTGCGGCTCATCGCACGTTGGCCTTGCAAACGGCGACGAGAGGGAATGATCACACCATGTTGTGAAATCAACGATAGCATTCTTCGACGTATCAGGACCCTTTTGAGTTCCCGGTTCGGGGTGCAGGAAGCACTTCGGAACTGTGAGAATCTTCAGCTGTGGGTTTTTCGCTAACAGTTCCTTCGTAGTACAAGGGGTCTGGTTGTGGGGACAAGTTGCATAGGCGCTACGGAAGAAGCTCCTCGCTCTCCCTGTTTCAAAGTTGTCGTATCCATACGATATCCCATGCACATGGACGACATGTTCCGACGAAGAGGGTGAAACAAGGTCCAGTAAAGGTGGAGCATCTCTCTCACGTTTCTCCACCCAATTTAACCGGAAATGTCGCTTAGCACCGTGCAGAGAACAGGGAGTTTTGAATGAAAATATTATTTGACTGGCAGATATTTCCACAGTGCCCCTAAGCGGCTGCTCATCCTGAAGTGTCGTGAGTTCCCAGTCATCGACCCTGTCAATGGGGAAGTCCGTCGTCTCAATAATCACTTTAGTCAGGTGGTGGAGCTGACCAATACGTGCTAAGCGCACCACCAGAAAACAAAAGCGGCGTACGGCGCACCCATCGAAACCCGTGTGGTGCACAACCTCATCCCCCTCCGCCCGACTCACCTGCGCCACGAACCTCTCCTCGATAACATTGGTGAAGCGGGTCAGGTAGTCGTAAGGAGCCGTGCCAGGAGCGGATTTAAAACTACCGAGAATCACGACTCGCTGTGTGTCCCAGAGCGCACTGAAGTTGGTGTCCTCGTAAAGAAGCCGAAACATCTCACAGATCAGAGCACACCTAAAGGCATCTGATCCTTCTGGGGTCCCTGAGAGATCACAGTTGACTACAATAAAACGGATGGTACGGCCCGCATCATCAGCATCAATCATCTCAAACAAGGAATATAGGGCATTAACGCATGACAATGACAAGAGAAGACTAGATGCTGGCAAGCTATTCACAACACCGTATTCCGTGTCTGCGCGAGCCAACACACGTGGAAGGAGATCAATGTCTCTTTTCTCGATAAATTGCACACGATTCCGGTTGTACGCTATTGTTAGTAAATCAAAATGAACAAACCCGTAGACCTCTGAAAGAACCTTCTTCATCGTTGATTTTTGAGATACGTTTTGCAATGCCACAACATCTGCAGCTTCTTTGAGGACAATTAAATACAGTTTCTCAATTGTCTGCTGATTCGACAATGTACTTTTCCACCACAGCTGTCCAGTTTTTTCTAATTCCTTCAAGGTTTCGATTTTGTCCAAATGGTACGTCGCAAATTTTAATCCTTGTGGCTCCGTCATCTCCTTTCCTTTCCCTAGGCTCTGAGCATGGCTGCGTGCCAGCAATATATACATAAATATATATGTAGAGAGAGAGAGAGAAAGAGAGAGTGGGTGTGTGTGAGAGAGAGTGGGTGTGAGAAGACAAGTTCGGAGACAGATGGAAAGAGCAGCCGCGGGGGTACACGGAAAGTAGTCACCAGAGGAAACAACTCCCTGAATGAGTGAGAGCCACACACATAAAAACCTCCTAAAAGAAGAAAAACTACAGCAGGTTGCATTTACTCTTCTTCTTTTTCTTTTTCACAGGGGCGGGCGGCGGCAGAGTTGGTGCTGCCTGTATTTCTTGCGCAGCGCCACCCCACAGTGGACGCTGCACCTCACCACCCGGCGCCTCCTCAACGCGTGGGGCCCCCGCACCGTTGGCGGTCACGTGCTCGGCGGCCGAGGCCCCGCCACTTCGGATGGTGCGGACGAGCGTCTCGAAGACTTCCTCCGCCATCCGCCGGTTTTTTGCCGTCACTTCCAGAAATGGGCACTTTGTCTGCGAGGCAAACTGACTGCCCTCCTCTGAGGCTACAGCCCGATAATTCGTCTCGTCAATCTTGTTCCCCACAACCACGCAAGGAACCGGTTGGTCGCCTTTCACGCGGCGAAGCTGCGCGTAAATTCTCTTAAGCTGCTGAAAACTCTCGGCATCAGTAATGCTATACACGAGAACGAACCCTTGTCCTTTCTTTAGATATTGATCACGCATCGCACCAAACGCGTCTTGGCCAGCCGTATCCACTATTGTCAGCACTGCTGGCTCGTTGTCAATATCGATTGGCTTGCGGTACACGTCCTCGATGGTAGCATCATACTTGTCTACGAAGTGGCCTTGGATGTACTGGATGGTAAGACAACTTTTCCCGACGCCTCCACCGCCCAATACAACAACGGGAATATCTGGCATCAAGGCCGCAGTGATACAACCAAAAGCAAAAAAAAAAATCAACTACGACGATAAAAGTTTCTATGTGAGAGTCTGTGTGTGTGTGGGTGTTATGCCGCAATATCTAGTGGAAACCCCTCCCACTTCACGAGGCAACTCCGTACTTCCTCGGGCTTCATTAAAATAATTTTTTAAAAAGCAATGAAACAAAAACACAAAAAATAGCAGGCAGGGAGTAGAACAACATAACGGCCCACAACAGTGGAAGAGCGCGTAGAGCATAAGACGCACACATATGCGCCTCGAGACAACCTGTAGACACAAATGTATAATCTCACATTGACTAAAAAAAGGCTTCAACAACAGGAGCGCCCCCACCCCGCCCCTCCTCCGACAACAACAACAAAAAAAAGCAGCACGCCTGTTTGTTTTCTTGAAAATGTATACTACACAAAGAGAGTCATCTGCAAAAAAATACAAAATCCCCTAGTGAATAATTACATTGGTTTTGGTTTTCTTGCGGCCTCATCTACAGGAGGCCTCCTCTTTTTGTCACCCGAAAAAGGAAGTAAATAGACAAAGGGAGAGCAATAGCATTTACTACGGCGCACGCCACGAGGGGGACCCAAATACAGACACGCCCTTCGCATTTGCGGGTGTCCCAGCGGCCCTGTTGTCTACTGTAGTAATCGTACAAAGGACCAAAAAGAGCAACATTGAATATCAAAGGGGAAACGATCCCTGCGGTATAGAGCGCGCTGTAGTGTTTTCCGCAATTGTCAGGGGCAAAGAGACCCTTGACGATAAGAATGGTACTCCCCCACGAAACCCCAGTGGCAAGACCAACAATGAAGAATGGTACCACCAGGGCATTTTGGGGCATTCCAAGAAACAGTGGGAGGCCAATGGCATTTAGAACGGGGGCGATACAAAAGAGCACAGATACAGATATCTTCTTGCGCAAGAGAAAGGGGTGAAGGGCTCCAACAATCACGCGTCCCACCGCACTGGCAACGCCGTAAATGGACACAAAAACAACATTGACTGTGGAAGAGTAACCGTCAAAGTTCATAGCCTCATATATTTGGCTACTGTTTGTTGAAACCACGGTTGCTGAGCTCCATGAGGCAAAGCACACGTACCACATAAGCCATAATTCTCGTCGTCGCATGTTGTACCACAAGGATTTTGAATTTAGTTTCACCTCCTCTCTACCAGCCTCTGACTCAACTGCAAAGTTATCGCCCGACTGAGAAGACCACCCCTTCGACGCGGGTCGTTTCCAATCATCTACCTCCTTGGTGTCCTTCGTGGGCGCAAACTCACGTGGTTCCAAAGGTTCCATCTCATTCTTTTCCCGAGGAGCGTCTTTGTCGTTTAGACTGTATTTTGGACAATTTTTGATAGACAAGAGAGAAGTGGATGCCTTCAGCCTTGCGTTATCCGGGGTTGTAGGCCCCTCAACCATCACATCTCTTGTGATGACAGAGAGCTCTTCTTGTGTAAGAGATGATGAAGGCTGCGGTCGATATCCCCCAATGTTCCAAGAATAACTTGGCGTGATGAAAATCATAGAAGAGAAACTCATAACCAAGACGATTGTAAAGATTCCAATAATCAGACGATCGGAGTCCGACATCAAATGGTAATTTTCGAGCAGCGTCGCCATCAATATGTAAGCAATAGAAAGAAGAAGAACGCATGTCCCCACGTTGAGCGGAAGCCTAAACAAAGGGGACTCACCTCCACCGCTCCGGACAACATCTTCATCAGGGATGTTAAGACCCAAGCAGTACGTCTTTTCGGTTGGTAGACGAACAAACAATGTGCCGAGTACCCCAACCGTCAAGGAGTAGATCACCAAGAAGAAGAAGAAAGGTCCAATACCCTCCACACGCGTCTCAAAAAAAGCAATGTATATCTGTGCAATGATGGAGCTTCCAAGCCCCATGAAAGTCTTCTGTATGAGTATCACACGTCCCTGGTAACACGAAAAGGCATCTAGATTCGTCAGGACGCTACCAGATTCATAAAAACTGGCTGAAAACTGTGAGATACCGTAGAAAAGGCACATAGTCCCGATGTTTGTCCCAAGCAGTGGGCGTTCCATATCAAAAAACATCAAGAACATGCCAAGCCAACCAATCATATTCAATATAGTCCCTACCAAAAGGGTTGGCATGGGGCCCTTAAAGTCATACAGATACCCGGTAGGTAACGAGAAGTAACTTAAGATGACACCCATAGTGGAAACGACATTCACCTGTGATTGATTGTACTTGAAGGCTCCTTTTTTCATGAAAGGGCTGAATATGCTGAAGCAGAAGCATGCACCATTATTGAGGCAGATGAGAATGCTTACGAAAAACTGAAAGAACCAGCGACGCTCCTGGGGCCACTCAATACGGCACCGGCATACCCTAACATTTGACTCTATCATTAGTGGAAAGATAAATAGATTCTCTTCACTACTGCTACTGCTACTGTTCCTATTCAAGTGCCGCACTTGAACATTCGTCAACAACAACAACAAAAATCAAACAAAGTGAATAATAGAGGTTTTAGAGGTGGGAGTGCAAGAATAAGATCACACTAGAAATAAAATTAAACAAGAAATCCACATTGTTGAATGACATTTCATTTATGGGATGTACATTTCAAGGATTTACATCGGCTCCACAACGGCCTCAGCGCCGTCTGTACCCTCCTCTGTTTTGCTTCGGACAAGGTGAGGCGGTGGGCGGCGAGTCGTCCCCGGGACAAACGAATTCACCAATGTGGGGCCCAGCAGCACTGCCCCACCATCATGTGCGGTAGGTGGCAAGACGTCCGCCTCCTCTAAAGTTTCAAAGTCTACTGTAACAATGGTGGTGCCGCCCTCGTGCGCAACAGTGAGGTCCACCGACATCGCTCCAAGCGTCTGCGTCCCTGATAGCTCCACCTGTGCCGTAGTGGAAAGACCCGCCGCCAAGAAGTGCCGCGGGTAGTGAACGCGCAACAGCGTCTTATTACCTGGAGAAAGTGTGATGCGATAGCGACATGGAACTGTAGAAGTATTCAACAGTGTCAGAGGAACAGCGTAGCGGTAACCTCTCATAACCCGTCCAAACGAAACTGTCAACGGTGATACCGATAGTGAAGGGAGAAAGTGACGCTCCTGTGACGGCATCTCCCTCTTCACGAAGGAATGCATAAACGGTACACCACCACCCTTCCCGTCGATATGCACAACCTCGGTCGCCGGAGGTGCCTCAGCCGCGACTGCAGTCGTCTTCACATCGCCATCTGCTCCAGAACAATTGACAGCTGTGTCGTCATTGTTCACCTTCAATGCAGCCTCATTGCTCTCCGCTGCAACGATTAAACCTGTAGAGTGCCAATAATTGAAACTGGAGCGCTGCGTTCTTTGCGGTTTCCTACATTCTGACAGGGTGCGCTCGACCTTCGCCTCAGAAGCACTGTTATTTCGAGATGACTTAATGCCTTGTTTTTCAGGCACGGATTGAACCACAGTCTCTGATTCTGCTGTTGCTCTTAAAGCAACTTCAGCAGCAGAAGCAGGGGGTAGTGTCCGCATCACCTCCAACCACGCTTGATCTTCATAAGAAAGAAGACGTTCGTTGCGCAACAAATCTGCGAGAGCTGACGCCTCCAAGGGTGCATCAGGCTTCGCCGTAATGAGGTGAACCGCACTAGTTGCCTTCTCCACTTGCAATTGTTTTGCGCTCCTCAAGCGGGGTATAAGAGCGAACTCTCGAAGTGATGCTGCCAGAGGGATTACGGTACTATACGTTTTCACTGTTTCTTCGCAAGATGGCTGAAGAAAGAGGATGTGCTCTTGAACAATTCCGTTAGCAAAAGAAGCGCCCAGAAGCGGTCGCGAGTACGCCGGGTCGATGTTCTTCTTCAGGCGATGCAATAGCACACTTAAGAGCCATGGGTTCATGAAGAGCAAAACTCCCTCTTCGTTACTTCCCCCACGTTTCCTAACCACACCTCGAAGCAGGTCTCTGTTTTTTTGAATGCCCGGGCCTAGTAGACTGTCAATTTCTCGCTCGGCATACCGTGTACAGCTTGAGGCTGTCTCACTTATAAATGGCGGATTTGCACGACGAAGAGAATCCCCACTGATCACAGAGGGCGATACAGACAAGTGGGCCCTGTGCAGTGCTGCATCGTCAAACTTCCCTCCAGTCTCTTCGTAGCATTGCAGAAACCTCTCGCTGAGGACCTCTTTCTTCTTGAAGACATCTTCTCGCACCTCCCCACAACGCCCAAAAGGCGAGACGCAGTATTCAGTGGACTGAGCAGAGCCAACAAGGCCACCAAAGGCACAGTCAGCTGTGTAAACATTCCCGTCATGCATGGGTCGCACATGCAGTGTATGCTTTTTCCAGTCCAATGTGGCCTCGCCACCATTTTGGCTGTGCATCACTTGCAGCACCTGCCCCACAACATCCATGACAGTTTCCACGCGGTCAACAACAAAGCCTATACGCCCTGCCTCGGAATTCACATGAAGATCTGGGAAGCCTGCGAAGTGCCATGTGAACCCATCCTCTGTACCGGTGCAGGAGCACCCCGAGCCGTACACGACGCCTTCGTGCTGCTGCCGGGTCCCCCACATAACCTGTATCCCGTCCTGGCGCACCACCAGTTGCTTACCAGTGATCGGGTCAACTTTTGTAGCAACAAGCAACGGCTCCAATGACTCCTTTCCACCATCTGTTCTAACCACCAGGCGCTTACCTGATGCACTGACACGAAGCATTATGCCTTCTGCGTTTACAGTCACGTAATTTCCGAACACGTCCATGGAAACACGGTATCCGTCCAACTCTGGTGAGTTTACCACTGCACAACCATCGGAGTACAAAGTCACTGCCTCAATGTAGTGAACACGAAGAGTTCGAAGGCCGTTACCCTCCCACACATCCACCACCAGGTCAACCAGTGTGGAATGAAGAACGCTTCTAACAACAGCTAGATGCATGCACTTCTTTTCAGCATCAAAAGTGATAGCTGTGCTATCCCTCAGTAAGGCCCTCGTAACCGTCTGCGGGGGTAATTTTTCCCGCTCGCTCGGAACAGGAATCTGCGAGATGAGCGCCTCCTCCAGCGCGGCTAGTGTCGGCGGCGGTGCCTTTTCCTTCGAGCCTCTCGGCGCCTTGGCCTGCTCAAGTGCGTCGTACTGCGCCTTCGCCTCTAGCTTGGCAACCTCCAATGCCTTATTGTACGCTGCACGCTCCACCGCACCGGTGTTGTCTGCCACGACCTCGAAGAAGAACCGCACCGCTTCATCAACGCAGAGAAAGGAGCGCACCCCACTTGATATCACGGAGGGCACCTCCTCTGTCGCCGGGACATTCAGCGTCAGAAAACCAAACGTCACACCCCCCGGAGCAGCGACACTGCAGTGAACCTGTTCTGTGTTTCCCACAGCGCGTTGAACCTCAATAGTGGAACCATCATCGGTAAACATCCACTGCACCTCCTGTGTCGCACAATGAGCTCCAGCTCCCGACACAATCAACTCCTGAACAAAATTTTCGCCACAACGGAGCCGCCGCAATGTGTCCTCATACGCGCGGCGGCGGCGCAGCGATGCATCAGCCACTTCCACAACATCCACTGGAGGAGGCTCCTCAACATTCTTTATTTTTTTCGATCGTTTGGCTTTAGGAACCTCCATTCCTTCGTTCCCTGGTCCATTCTCTTCCTCATCTTCCTCTTCTTCTTCTTCTTCCTCTTCTTCTTCTTCATTGGGTTCATCCTCATCGCTGTCCGGCGGTGGCGGGTTGTAGTAGAGCGCCTCGCTGGCACAGTGCTTGTGCCACTCCACATAATCCGCGAAGCTCGTTGAGCCGCGGAAGGCGTACACGGAACTCTGCGTGCGCGGTGTGCCGTCGCCGCGGTATAGCACCTCAACGTCGCAAGATCCCACGCTTGTATGCGCAGTTCGCCAGCTGTAGGACTTATTTATCTTCAAGCACTGTTCAATTTCCTTCCGTCTCCCCAAGCTAACCACGCCAAGTGTGGTCATGTCAGCCACCAATTTCTCTGCTTGCTCCGCCTCAACACCGAAGCATTCACAAAGAAGAGAGGAGACGGCTTCCCTAGCGTCTATTGACGCAATATCATCCGTGGTTTCGGCTGCAGCTGGAAAAGAAGCGCCAGTTGATTCTTCATCCAATGGTAATGTTGACATCTTTCGTGTCGTCAAAGCCGCTGATGACACGACAGTTGAGAAAGGGTCGTCTACTGCCTCCCTTTCATCAGAGCCCGAAAGGCGCTTTAAGTACGCAGAACTCTCCCCTTGCAAAGCAACATCAAAAATATAATTTACGAATGCAGTAGCGTACTCTTTGTTTTCTAGCATTTGTTGTCTTTCTCGCTTCGCCGCAGTGAGATAAGGCTCTAACAGATGAGGCATCGGCATGGAGAGCGTAGCCGCAATCTGCAAAGCACATGCTGTGCGGAAGGTGCGTCTGTCAAACGAGCTCAACTTCCCCTCCCCTAGTGTTGCATCGAACACGGCTCGGTGCACAACGACATCCTTCATTTGCTTGGGATCGGCATGAACAACCGGAATAGGTTCAGCACTCCCCGTGGAGGCTACAGGGGCAGGTGAGGTCTTCTTCTTGTTGCTGACAGACCTCTTTCGTCCTCTCTCTTCCACCGGCGATGCCACCACCTCTCCGGCTTGTGGATAACTAAGCGGAAAGTACGGAGGGACTATTACCTCAACGCGCGTACGTTTCCACTCACAGAATCCAGCGTAGAGCTCCTCGAGCATAACAACAGCGTCCATCACTGCTCCAAAAACCGCATCTTCAGTACCCTTCAAACGGTAAACCACAGCTGGTACCGCTGCAGACGCTGCTGCTGCTGCCGCATCCCCAGTGGTATTCGCTTTTGGAACAGCGGGCAACGCCTCAGTTGGGACATCGTACAAGTGGACGCAAATGTCCTTCAGATAGGGCAGCGGTTGCTTCGCCCCCGCCAGGTACTGCTGCAGTTCAGCTTCCAGTGACAGACGCATCTTATCTTCATCTTGTGCATTTCTTTCCTTCTGCAACGACTTCTTTGTGTCTTTCTTCCCCTTCCCCTTGGTCACCTCAGCCACATGCAGCGGGCTCTCAGCGGCGGCAGAACCACTGAGCACGACACGGCTCGTCAGCGACACAACCGCGTGGAGGCACAGCCCACAGTTGTGCAGCTCCGTGACCTCTTCCACTGTGGTGGGGTACGTGGGGAGGTACACGTACAGCCGCTCGCGGCCGTCGCCCTCCTCGCTCGACGCGGCCTCCGCGGCGGCCTCCTCCAACTCCTGCTTCGCCGCCTCCGCTGCCTCCGCATCGCTGAGGCCATCCTCGACATAGAGGGCGACGATGGCGCGGTACCTCGCCTCACGTGCGCATTCCTCTTCGCGCCGCTTCACCTCGCGGTCCACTGCGATGCGCACGTAGTCCTCGTAGAGGAGCGCCGCGACACTCTTGGCGCTGTCGACGGGCTTAATCCGCCGGTCGCTCTGTCGGCCCCGCGGCTCCTGCGCCGGGATGCTGGCGGAGCGCCGATCCAGCACGTGCAGTTTCCCCGCGAATGCGGGGTCGCGTGTCATTGCATCGACAATTTTGGGGAGACACACATTCCTTGGAGTCGGCACAGAAAACGTGAACACTAACGGATTGAAGCGCCTCAGTGCCTCCGCTTGCAGGTCTGCGTCAACGGCTTCTGGGGCAACCGCACCCGTCATTCCGCGCGAATCCAGTGCGAGCAGCAGCTATGGGCACCTTGGCTGATGACGGGGAAGCCAAAACGAAGAAAACAAAACGGAAGGAACAAGGAGACAACTGATAAGCAAAGGAAAAAAAAGCCAAAGACGAATAAAACAGAAAGTTTTTTTTTTAAAGGGGGTGCGCTCTCACCCCCAATAAATAGAGGTCAACGCAACGGATGACAAAGCTTCACGAAAAAAGAAAAAAAGGAAATCTATCCGCCAAATATCATTAAGACAACTCTTTCTTTCTATCTACATCCGCATCGTTATGTATTATTCACTGATGTCACTGTGGCCTCGCAGAAGCAAGGGAAGCCACGATCGAGCAAGCGCTATTATGCTGTTCCAGGTGTCGTTGTTGTCTGCGGGAGACAACCACCCCAGCACACAGTGGACGAAAACGACAGTAAACATCGTAGCGGTGACACGACGCGTTGTAGTGAATACTAGCACCCCCAGAGCCAGGGGTGCTGTAGCGACGCGCATGACATCACTGCGATTATCAAATACCGCTTGCATAAAAACAAGCAGAACAGCCGACCACTGTTTAAAAGTTTGTCTGACATGCAACAGTAGCTTCTCGGCGAACGGTTGTTCGGCAACACTGAAATTATCCACAACACGGGGGCAAAGTGCCGATTCCAAGACTGCAGCGGGGAGATCCGTGAGTAGCCATGTCGTGAAGAAGTAGAACGCAATACCGTTCTCAGCAACACAGGGGCTAATCGATGCTCCAACCACAAGCAAAACAGCAGACGCATGAATCATCAAATGCGTCATATCGGTGCACCACTTTACAAGAAAAGGAGCAAAAATGATTGGTGTGGTTATGACTACTGCCATGTGGATACCAACAACAAAAAAATCAAGGTGAAACGCTCGGCGGTCCGTAAAAGGGTACATACATTGGTTCATGGAGGCACAAAGGGTAGTAAGTGCGACGGGAATGAAAACGGCAAACTCGTGATAGCGCCGACGAAGAAGCCATTTTTTGTACGCGTTCACAGTCTGTACGGCGGGAATAGTCTTTGATTTACGCACAACTTTGAATGACAACAAGCCGACGAGAACTGCGATGGCGAGCTCTATAGCAGCCATTAAAAGTGACACAGACGCCACTCCATCTCCGTAATCACCAAGAGCGCCGCCAAATATCATGGCAGCCGGGAGGCTAAAAGTAGTTACCCGCTTCACATCCAAGCCTTTTGCTGCCAGTGGCAGTTCTTGCATGGCAAGGGTGCCGAATATTCTGATATGGCGAAATAAACCATTCACAATGCGTGCCGCCAGAAACAAGTAGAGTGATCCCTCACGCAAAGCCATTGCACTAAGGAAAATACTAACTGCTGTAGCGAGCAGCGTTGCTGCATACGCAGCGAATCCACCAACACGCCTCGCAAACCGTTCAGCTATGGGCGTACTCCACAACTGCGGAAAGAATACAAACGATTGAGCCAGCGCCAGTGTGGCGCGTGAGAGCGGAATAGCCTCACTTTGGAGTGCGACAATGGGGATTAAAGAGAAGTTTGCAAGCGTGTCAACGCACGCCGCAAGATTAAGAACAAGGCCAGCGTAACTCCCATGCGTCCCCTCACTCTTTGTCAGCGTCCCCGCCTTGACCCTTTTCGAAGAGCGTGTTTTTCCCGCTTGCGGCATCGCGGACACTCTTCTAGAAGTCACAGTCATCCTTGTCGCACACGATCACAGAGAGTGCCACGATTACTTCTCTTTTCCCCTCGCTCTCTCCCTCTTTCTGTAGTTCACTGTCCTTGAAATAAGAGCCTTCTATAGAAATTTTTCGCTACTAACGAAGGAGAAAAAAACACTACGGGGAGCAGGGAAATAGGACGCACGGCCTCGCACTCAATCCACGCACGGAAAAATACCCCTCACAGACAGTGTAGAGATATTGTACAAAAAACCATTCTTTACATGCTAACCACGGAACAAGACAAATCCACATCTAGCATTTTCTCTCCAACTGGCTAAGAGCCTCACAGACAGATGATGTCAGCGGCTGGTAGTCGTCGGCGCCACTAGCGATGCGCTGCAAACGCCCCTTTGCGCTGAGGAGCTGCCGCCTTCCCATCGGGTGCTCGGCGACGTTGACAATTGTCTTGACAACGTTGACAAGGACGTCGCGCTCCTCCTCCTCTTCCCGCATCAGCAGCGCAAGAAGAACCTGCGCAATGCCATCATCCACCGCCTGCTGTTTCCCCGGCTCGTAGATGGTAAGCTGCGCAACCGCGCCAGTGACGGCTGTGCGCACCCGCAGGTTGTCGTGTGTCATGTACGGTACCAGCGCCACGAGAGTGCCGCTGTCGACCGCGGCTTTTTTGCCCAGGCGATAGGAGGCGGCCTGTGTTACCACCTCCGCGGCCTCCGCCGCAACGAACGGGTCATTTCTCGCCAGCGCCGCAGTAACCGCCCTCATGCCGGCCGCTTTGATGAACGGGATGAACGCCTCCTTTACGTCAAATATCGTCACAAGGGCGGAGCAGGCCATTGCGGCGACTTTATCCTCATCGTGGCGCAGCAGAACGATGCAGCGCTCGATGAGGCCGTAGCCAACAAGACGCCGCGTGGCCTCGTACGCGTTGTACGCCGCGCGGCACACAATCACCAGACGCAAGGCTAGCACAATAACGTCTGATGAAGGATCATCGAGGGTGTTGAGCAGCTCGCGCAGCGTCGCCCTATCGTCGTCCATAGCGAGAAGCATGTCAAGCGCCTTCGGCTCCCGCAGAAGAAGTGCGAGAGCCTCAGCGGCCTTGCACCTCATCTCCTCCGCCTCATCGTGGTGGAGTGTGGAGAGCATCAGCTCGAGAAATCCGTAGCGCAGGCTACGAATCACGTTCTCCCGCTGCATTACGTACAGCTCGAGGAGGTGATCCACAGCCTGCCGTCGCCTCGCCACGTCGTCGCTCAGCATCCACACGCGCACCTTCTCATACCCTAACTCGCCGTAGGCACGCGTGAAAATCTCCGGGTCGAGCGGCCGGGGGTGCGGCCTCATCTCGTGCATCGCAATGCAACGCTGGTTGCGTTCAAAGCGGGTCAGATCGTCTACTGCGCTGGCGTCGGCGATTGGCTCGCCCTGCAGCCTGCGAATAACGGACCACATAGAGCCAACAGCGCCACTACGTCCTGCAGCTCGCACCACAGAAGAAAGAAAGGCAGTTGCACATGAAGAAAGGTATATACATACAAAAATATGTTCACATAAAACGACAAGAGCGCGTCGCAAGAGGAGGCGGGGAATCGCACCAGCAAAGAACAAAAAAAAACGGGCATTTTCAAAAGCAGTCAGTCCCATGATGAACTTCACCGCAGCAGATGTCACAACATTCGACGCGTATTTCACGCGTAAAGCGGCAATACGCATGGAATCGTTGATCCATTCATCATCATCATCAATCGGAAGAAAACGAGTTTTTGCGTGGTACACAAATCTTCTAACGTTTCAAGACATCAAACGATACGGTTTTTTTTTTTGCTGTCTGCTTCCTGTATCAATGGTGCATACCAAACACATCTCTGCTGGTCAAAATGCTTCCATTAAACGTTCATCCATTCCGGGTATAAACGGCAGAAGATGGCCAACATGTGCACCAAACAAACCAGAACGGCACGCCAGTCGTCTAGCAGCCGCAGTAATCCTTCACCACCTCAGTCACTATACTACGGTGCTGTTGGTGTTTGTAGGGAAGACGTCAAGCATCCCTATGTGCTTGTTGCTGTGTCTCACGGGAGAGACCCACACTGTGGTACACATACTACCCCCACCACCGCCACACAATGTACTGGAGTCCAACGATCCGAAATACACCACACCACACCATTAAGAAGTCAGCAGGAGTAAACCACGCGGGCGAGAGGATTGGTGCGCCAACACGAACAAAGACAGAATACAGCACTGTATGCTAGGGGACGAGGAAGAGCAGCACGGAGGGGGGGAAAAAATGGTTTCCTGTGAATATAAAAACGCGCGTCAAGATAAAGATAATAAAGATTTTAAAAATTCCACACAAAGCACGATTGCAATGGTGTCCCGTTTGTTTTCCATTCATAGCACCTCAAGCGCGACCTGAAGGAAAGAGCAGCACGGAGATGACAAGGCGCATGCACGGCAACACCGAACCCGCAACTCCAACGTGCCTCACGCACCGACCAGAAAACCCAAACACTGTTCGCCACAGCACCACACTCAAGAAGCAAGAATGAGAAAGGGATATACTCAAAGAAAAAAAAAAAGATTGAAGAGGGCGTCGCACAGCATCAAGAGAATACTCCGCATCGTAGAAACAAGATATGTCGATAGGTGGAAGGAAAGAGAGGCAACTTCCAGGTAACTAGACCTTCACACCTCTTTCACCTGTACGAGTTGCCATGAAAGAAGCAAAGCTCTCCTCTACTGAGCGAAATGTGGCCGATTTGACGTCAGTGAAGAAAAGCTCCTGGCCACCCACCTGGTGACAGCACACTGCACCACAGGTTCCGCGTTCCCTGCCGTAACAGCCGAAGGCTGTGCGGCCCAATACAACGCGTGTTACCGGTAGAGTAGGAAAGACAAAGGAATCAAACACCATGCTATCCCCGTACCGACGCTGCGAACACAACGCATTTCCAAGCAGCGCCTGTGCATATGGTATCTCTTTCACCAACTGCGCTTCCCACACAGCCCCATCGTCTGTCGCCATGCCGTCAAGACGACCAAGAAGTGTTGGCGACCCGGTGGTAAGTTCGTGGCCGATGCAGATGGGGCCTTCTACGCGCCCACCACAACGTGGTGGGCGCTGTGGAGTGTCACGCTCCGCCACAGAGGAAGAAAGCTCCTCCATGTCATGCTCACGCTCCGCCATTTCACGCAAGGAAATCCTAACCAGTTCATCCCACACGGCGTCCTCATGTGGTCTCTCAACATGAGTGCTTCTTCCTCTACCGAGGAGCATCACCAGATGCACATCCCCTATTGTCACTGTCAATGAGCGGTAAAAGAGACCACTAACATCGTCTTCACTTCCCTGGTGCACAAGACGAACAACAGGGGCTGAAAGGTATCGCCATGCCAGATGCAGCGAAGACTGGCGGAAGTTCGTACAAACAACGCGGCCCCAAAGGTGAGACAACACCCTGGAATGCTTTCCTCCACCAAACATATCATCGGCCAAAGGCCCTATAGGAAGTTGCAGGTCCTTACCAACACATGTGCCATGGCGCGCATCGATGGTTAGCAAAGACGTCAGGTAGGGGTGGCAGTCACTCAAAACCACTTGCGATCCAACCAGTAATACAGTCGCAAAGCAGCCACCCACCATTGTACTAGCCGCCAAAGCCCTTTGGAAGCTCCAATGCAACTCCGATGCTAACAGAAAGGTTTGCCTCGACAGCGAGGCTACCCGAGGGGCGGGATTCAGAAATCCAGGTCCATACAGGGAATACCCCCAATCACTTTTTTCTTTTCGCCAACTCTCACAATTGCCGCACATCAAAAGTTTCCAATCAGGTTGTAGGTTTAGTGTCGTCCCACCAGCAGAAAGGGGGTTAAAAAAGAGCTCGCTAACCATATAGAACAGCTGCTCACCGATAGTACGACACCAGCGTCGAAACTCTTCCGGCAACTGACCAATACGGACGCCATAATCAACCCGGGGACCTTCCCGAAACTCAATCACATCAAGCATCCGCTGCACACCGGACCGAATGTGTGAATCTGGAACGTTGTCAGGGAAGCCGATTGCCACAGACACTGGGCAATCACACCTATCCAAGCTCCCATTCTCCGGATTCAGCACATTCAACGGTGTGTTATTCAATGCCAGAAGGCATAATGCTATCTTTACACCGTCAAGGCACACTATGCAACAGTCGCTGCCCCACGCGTCATGCATCCTGCAATCAGCAATACAAAAAGAAGTTACAAATTGCATTAAAGGACCAAGAAAGCCACGGCGAAGAGACTCCGGAAATGGGCTGAAAGGTGTATCTAGCGTTTCATCCCTATCGCGAGCATCGGGCCTCGGATGAAACATCCAACGGGAGTGGCTCAAGTAGATAAGCTCGTTTCCACCCTCAACACAAGATTTGTGGCAAAAGATGCACAGGAACCGCGAAAGTAGTTCACGGAGAGGCAGAAGATGGAGATCCTCTGGGTATGGCGCGCTACACGAGAACCGCATCGTTTCAAACCGTGATTGGCCAACTAAATACGGATCGCACGACCGCAGAACGCCTAGCTCCACCAACGGTGTGGCGTATCGATGGTACGCCTCTTGGCGGTCACAAACAAAAAACAGTGAAAGCGAGTTTAGTATATAATCCCCCGAAATCGCACCTTCGTCATCACTGTGGCACTGCATATGCTCGTAGAATATACGAAGAAGTTCTGCCAGTGTGACCTCCGGTACAGGCAAACGTTGAGTAGAACTACAGCAGATTATAAGTGCCTCCCGAAGCTCTTCCGCACCATCTGAAGACCCGCTCTTCTCAACTGCCTCAAGATGCCTTGAGGCGTGATGTACTGACTCATTCTTCGTATCCACAACGATGCCACGAGAAAATTGTTGGGACTGGTGAATAATACCACTGCCGCGTCCAGCAGGCTGCCGAGTTGTGAGTGCAGCTAGGCTCCTGCCCCACTCCAGAGATAACGGAGCACTGACAAATAGCATATGCCGCCTCAGAACCTCATTGGCTTGCGCGGCCGTTAGCATTCCACAAGAGGTAATCATTGAACAGAACGAAATAATATCCTTTATGTTCAAATAAGAAAAGCAAAGAGAGCATAATTCGAATAATAAACCGCAGCGTCACATCCATAGACAGAGAGATTCTCATATGGGCACGTTTCTCTTCGGTTTCTGCGTTCCGTTCTTACCGTTAAAGCTTGGACACAAAGCCATTAGTCATGCGCAGGAGCGTTTCCTGAGAAGTGCTCATCCAGAGCGCACCGTCCTGGCCATACATACGTCCATGGTTTAGTCCTCGACCGCGCGCCGCCCACGGGCTAGACACCTCGTAAAGAAACCAATCATCCACACGGATGAGTTCAGGGGAATGAAAGTAGATGCTGTGATCAAGACTCGTTATGACACGGAGGTGGGTATTCGGGAAGCCATGGGGAAGCAAGGACGCAAAAGCAACAAGAAAGTCTGAAAGCCAGCACGCCACAATTATATGCAAACGCTCCTTGGGAATACCTGTTGCGGACTGCAGGAGGGCCCATCCATGGGCGTCCATCCGCATCCACACGTCCCACGGTGACTCGCTCCGGATGAAGTCCAAATCCATAAGGTTTATGTATTGCACGCCAGCAGTGTCAGTACACTCGCAGCCGCTCGCTACATACACCTTGCTTGAGTCCCCAAGTTTCTCAACTATGCTAGACAACTTGTTAGTACAATATTTACCCCCTGTGGATTCAGGGCTCGTCGAACGAAATGGGTGGCAAATCTGATGTTGAATACCACTACGTTCCCGTCGATGAAAACTAGCGAATGCCGTGAGCAAAGTCCGCCCTTGCTGAGTTGCCACAATCAAACGCATGCAGAAAGAACGTCCGTCACGCAGCGACTTGACAGTGTACAATATCGGCTCTTCTATCTCGCTATTTCCCGGTGACAGAAACTTTAAATGAAGACTGTTTATGTCCATGTTGGTAGCACCCACTGTACGGTACGCCGCCTCGACGCAATGCGCCACCAACTGGCCCCCGTACGTCGCCCGTGAGACAGAAGGCGTCCACAGCTGCACACTGCGAAATGCACCGTTACCGACATCCTCCAGCTGGAGGGCACGCGCAGAGAGCGCTTCGAAATCCCAGAGAATATTCTTAAGCGTCATCAGATGTGAAAATTGAAAGAAAGACAAAAAACTTGAAGCAAAAAGAAACAAAATTGGCTAAGAACCCCAGTTACTGCAAGGCACATGAACAAACTACAGACATACTATACTATTCGCCCCATTTGGGTGAAACATTATTTATTATCTTCTACTGCCTGATTTGTTGCTGACGCCGCAAGCGCTCAAGTGTTTCGAGCCGCTCCTCTTCAACACGTTTTTGTTGCATTAACAACGTCTCCTCATGTGTTAAAAAAAAATTGGGTGGCACGTCGTTGAGTATGCGCTGAATTTCAGCCTCGCAGAGGGAGCCGCCAAATGTTCGGCGCACAATCTCTTCAACGGGCACCCTGCAATGTTTGTATTTTTCACTCACAGCACAGGCCACTTTCTCGTCGGACTCGGCTACGTTGGCTTGATTAGGCTCCTTACCAGCATCATTACTGGAGGGTGCAGAGCATTTCACACGTGTGTTTTCGGTCACTTGTTGTTCTACGACAGCCGACGCAGACGTGCGATAAGACTGTTCTTCCTCATACTGTGCTGACACCTCGGCTTTATCGACTTCCCTCATCGTCGTTGTAGCCTCGTCCTTCGCACAACGTCTAGAGAGTTCTGCAACGTACAAGGCGTGGCGTTGACGAATGCCCTCACCTCCGTCAGGTAGGCGGCTGAGCAAAGTCGGATGACGCAACAGCCGCTCGCACCGCTCAATGTGAACCAACAGCAGCTCATACTTTATTTCCGTCACGTCGGAATTAGTCTCCATTACCGACTTCTCTGGGTTCGACAGAGGACACAAAAGAAAAAGACCGGTGCTGAACGCAATATCAAAGGTACAACGTGGTTATTTGAAGTGTCATTTTCAAAAGCGAAGCTGATATCTTTCATTCTTTGGCATTTTTATTTTTCCTCTTCATCATCTTCCGCTGCAGCATGGTAGGGACGGAATGGAAAGAGCTGGCATGTGTTTTCGTATATGGTTGCCGCCAAGCACTCCAGCGATGCCACATCCTCACGGTGAAGCTCGTATAAAACCTCAAGCACCCGCACCAAGTGGCACGGTTCACATCGCGATTTAACAACAGACCCTTCAACGAACTTATCCTTGCGACAGACGTGAAATGTACTCAGCAATGAATCCGACACGCTGCCGCACCTCGCCGCCGCGTCCACAAGCAAGTGATGTGAAGCATGCGTGCCGCGCACCTCACACCAGGGCCCGTCCGTCTCAATCATGAGCCTGTTCAGCGGAATGGCCCTCACAGCAGCAAGATTTTCAGCTGTTTTAAGACTACATCCATTTACTCCAATATAAAGGTCCAGACCCAAAAGCTTCTCTAGCTCCTCCTCCGTCCCTGTAAAGCTGTGAACAACACCACCTTGAAAGCGGTGACGGTGCTGCTTCAGCACATCGCAGAACGCACCCCCAGTGTTACGGTCATGGAGAAAGAGAGGCAACTGAAACTCCTCCGCCAGATCTAACTGTTTGACAAAATAAGTCATTTGCACGGCCTCTTCGCAAAAAAAGAGCCGGTCGTAGTCAAGACCAAGTTCACCAATGGCTGCAACACATCCACCCTCCTTTCGAACCGTATGCTCTTCCACCAAATTTTTCAGCTCATTGTAGTATCCCACAGGATCCTTCGCTAACTCCCCACATCTTGTTGGATGGCAGCCGACAGTACAGTAGCACTGCAAGGTATCAGAGTGGTATTTCTTGCAGAGTGCAATGGCCTGACGACTTTCCTTCAGGGAGCCAGCCGTGATAAGTAGACAACGCACACCAACGGCAACGGCTCGCGCGAGCACGGCTTCAATGTCACCCGCGTGCCTCTTGTGGCCACTATACACACCTTGGTACATGGCGTCTGTCAGATTAATGCCTACATCAATCATCGGCAGGCGCAGCGGCGACAAACCCGACATTACTCAACAAGAAAAGAGTACAAGCCCCAACTACAAATGTCCTTTTGCCTCGCAACCGACAAAACCCAAAAGAAAGCAATCAGTAAACAACACAAGGGGCAACAAGTAGATAACCGTTAAAAAACCTTTATATTCCTATATGGAGGCACCCATCACTCTTTAACCAGTCATAAAGAAGAAAAAAACAAGTATAGCACCCTTTCTCAAAAGTAGTTACGCACATCAGCGTCACTTTAAGCACAACGCAAGACTATTAAAAAACGAAAAAACCTATAGGACAGAGTATCTTCGGATGTCACCCCACTCCCCATAACAAAGCGAGCAATCATAAGATGACTCTCAGCAGCAGCACAATCGGCGGCCCTTCCTTATTCGCCCTTCCATCATTGCTTGCATCTCTTCCTCCTCATGCGCACGCTCTGCCTCCGCGCTTATGCGCAGAAACACCTGCTCGATCGACGTCTGTGAAACCTGATAGTCGCTCAGCCCAAGAGACCGGCGATGCCTCTCCAGCAACTCGAACGCCAGCGACATTTTCGCAGTCCGCGGCAACGCAAAGATCATACGGTTCGAGTGCCGCTCCTCAAGCCGCGCGCCTGGAAAGCTCTCATTCATGAACACCTCAACTGCGGCCATCGACACCTCGTCGTCGTCGTGCACTGGACGCACCGTCACCTCGAACCCACTGCCGTACTTGTTCTTTAGGTGTGTCTTGTCGCCAATGCACCGCAGCGAGCCATCCACCATGATCGCAACACGATGCGCCAGCGCCTCCACCTCCTCCAGGTGGTGCGTCGTCAGCACAACAGAACAGTTGTCGGCCACCGCCTTTATTGCGTTCCACAGCCCGCGGCGCGCAACAGGGTCCATGCCAGCCGACGGCTCGTCAAGGAACACCACGCGCGGGCCACCGACCAGCGATATCGCCACACTCAGCTTGCGCCGGTTGCCACCGCTCAGCTCGTGCGCAAGCGTCTTCCGGTACTCTGTCAACGCGCACATCTTCATCAGACCCTCCACCACGCTGTCGCACTCGCTCGCCACGATGCCACGCACCCCCGCGTACAGACGCAGGTGCTCCTCCACAGTCAGCAGGTCAAGCGTCGCGTCGAATTGCGGGCAGTAGCCAATGCACCGTAGCGCTGCGCTGCTGTTCGTCGTAACATCGTAGCCGCAGATCGCAGCCGACCCACTTGTCGGCAGGAACTCCTGGCACAGAATTGAGATGGTTGTCGTCTTGCCCGCGCCATTCGTGCCAAGAAATCCAAACACCTCCCCGCGCTTCACACCAAACGTCAGGTTCCTCACGGCGACCTTCCCATTTCCGTACACCTTGCGCAGGTTCACCACTCGCACAAGGTCATCCACACGCCCCGGCGAGTCCATCACCTCGACACGTTCTCGCACCGCATCGTCGTCCTCGCCCTCAATCACCTCCGGCGAGGCGTTAGGGTCGTGAAACAGACGCTGCATGCACTGCCGACGGGCCGGGTGGTCAATGAGAAGCGTGAGCAGTAAGAGCAGCGGCGTCTCAATCGCCATGTACACACACGGCCAGCCAACACTGTTCATACTCCACGTAGATACAACGCCACCAAAGGTGCGCAACACACTGATTAGCCCCATATTGCTGATACACTCGCCAACACAGTAGCTCGGCACTATCCGGAAGACCCAGCGTAGCACGTTGGCAACGTGCTCTGTCTGTTCGGAAAGGGACAACAGAGACACCGCAAGGACAAGCAAGAAGCCGACAATAAAGTTCGTCAGCATCACAACGTTCTGGGCCTTCGAGTGGTCAGAGAAAATGAAACTCACAGAGTACGCCATCGCAATGCCAGAGAGGCCGTACAACAGAAACGCCACGATCGTCGCCCCAACGTTCGCCGGCGCAACGTACTCCTTGCGCTTAAAGATGGCAAGCACGGTGATCACCAGAAACACCGTGACAAGATATGAGCAAAAATCGAAAACAAAGTTCGATGCCCAGTACACAGTGAAACGCAGCCCGGACACATTCTGCAGGTGGCGCGCCTTGCACTGCCGCTCCTTCACGATCCAGGACACAAACGTCGACGGGATGAAGGTGAATGGGATCATAATGATAATCGAGATGAGTAACGCGTAGACAGACGAGACAACATCCTCCTGCGCCTGCGTACTTGGTAAAGCATGCACACGAGTCACCATGCGCTGCGCAGAGCCGTGCGCTTTTAGAAGCAGTCCATTGTAAAAGTTCGCCACACCAATCGCGACCTCGTGCAGGGCAGAAGTGTTGTAGAAGATAGAGCTCGCACCCCCAAGGTCGGCGTCACGGCACGCGAACGCACCATACCTCTCACGGCTGTGCGAATGGTAGGTTGACAGAAGGTACGCCGACATATTATGCGACGTCGCAACACCGGGCGGCACCTCAGTGTGCGTGCTCGGTGAGAACGGCACTGAGAGATCAAACACCGCCTCGCAGTTCGACACATCAATCTCAACCTGGGAACCATACAGGTCGCTGCTCAAGACTATTGGTGGGTTGTCAAACATTTTGATGAGCGTCAGCAGCATCGCCAGCAGCACGCAAACAACGGGGCAGACAATCTGGAAAAACTGCGTGCGGCGGTCACGCAGCGAGTTCCATAGGCGCTTTGCCATCATCGCACGAAACTGCGTACACATAATAGCGCCCTCACTTTCCATCAACCCAACGTTCCACACACAGCGCGACCAATCAACGGGTTCCTTGTCCTTTGCCTCCTCGCCATCACACAACTTCGTACCCTGCGCAACCTTGATGAAGATCTCCTCCAGTGTCGTCACAGAGAGCGAGTACCCGCTCACTCCAAGTGATTTGCCCCGCGTCTCGACGTCGGCAAGCAGCCCGGCGAACTTGTCCCTCTCGTGCATCGGAAGCCGAAATGCAATCTCCCCTGCACCGCTGCCCACACGCTCCGCACACGACACATGCGACTGCACAAGCGCC